ATATATATTTATACATTACCATCTTTTCCACTTTTTCTAATGGAAACACCAGAAGCAGTGTACGGGACGTTTGCCTTGGCCTTTCCGTCATACGAAAATTCCCGATAGGGCTGCCTATGTTGTATTTTGTGCTTTGTCGTGGGACAGAGTTGCCCCAAATACCCGGTAATTGGCGGTTGCCATATGGAAATGGGTAGGCCAGAGAACGCGAAGAGCCGACTGTGACGGAGAACACACGCGTCCGCAAGTGACAGATACCGAGTAGGTCTAAGTAAGGCTCATGTTTCATTTACCTCATTGGGATGATAGAAATGAAAAGAACGGACACTAGAAGGGCCATTTGGTTCAGTGCGTTCCTTACGTCGATGTCAAAAAGCGTTTTAGAACCATACAGAGTACCCCCCGAGAGCAGTTTTAGCATGAGAAACATTGGCGGAAACAAATGCTCGGCTGCTTCTGGGTGTTTAGACACTTAGTAATGTTTATGAACAGAACGTACTTCATCGACCATTATGTAAGACGTCTAAAAACATGAATAAATAAATGAATAAATAAAGTAAACCACAGTAACGACAGAAGGGACACAAAACCAATGACCATTCAAACAAAACAAAACGAAACGAACAACAAAATCCACCCCAGATAGATATCTCCTAAACTATAGAACATAATAAACTCTCCATCTTTTGCACAGTAACCTGTATCAATTTGTTTAAGCATATCAATATTTTTGTGAACATCTGTTATCTCTAGTCTAGAATATTCTTTATTAATTACTAATTTAAAATCCCAGTGGGTGGTTTCTACAGATTTTTAAAAGGTTTACAGATGGGACAATATCACTTTTAAAAGTTTTTCTAATTGCGACATTATGTTTACTGAACTCATGTTTTGAGAACATTTAGTGAAAACAAATTGTTCACTCTAAATGTAATTACTTGAAACTAGTTTTGCCACTAAAAAGTTTCACTAGTGAGCTGTGACGTAGGCCATATTTGTATACAAAATGTGTGTGAGAAGCGAGAAGTGCTATGAACAATTCCATTTTCCACCTCAAGGAGATTTGTAGCATTTTATATAAAGTTATGACTAAAAGTTTTTAAAACTAGCCTTAATTGGTGGGGAAAACTATGATTATGTTAAGTCAAATTGATGCAAACTGCTGTGCAATGCATAGGGTGACTTTGGATCACACATTAAAAAGATATTTGAGGATAATTTGCGCCACGAATTTTTTTCACCACACTATAGATAGATAGATAAATAGATAGATTGGTGGATAGATCGAGAGATAGATAGACACACAAGCCAGTCTTATAAAATTAAAATTTGATATTTATGTATACCTTTGATTACTGGAGATGTAGATATAACATGGTCACTTACTAGGGCTGGTCACTAGAGCGTGTCATATACTAAAACTCTCTTTAGATCTTGGATTTCCCCTTTTTCCAGAAAAAATATTTCCCATAAATCAAATTCAGATTTCAAGTAATAAATTGTAACGGTAACTGGATTGCTTTTTCTGTTCTATTCAAATATTTTGCCTCTTTCTTTTTGCCCATTTATACCGTTCGACCACACATGAGGAAAATGTTCTGGAACGTTAAGTGCTTACTTACGTTTTCTTTATCTCCTTTGCACATCAAACATCCCCAGGACGTTGAATCAATCGACATGGAAGATTTCCGTCACAACTACGTAAACCTGACCGGGTTCCGGTTAGTTGACCCCGGTGACCCCCAGGTGAGGAAAATCATCCACGACATGGAGATATACGAGATGCAGACTGACCTCAGCCTACTGAATACCACAGGATACTTGTCTATACCGGTAAATGGACTACTACTTTAGCTCGTTGATTCTCTTTTATGTATTTGTCTCTGTCAAGTCTGTCTGTCTGTTTGTCTGTCTGTCTGTCTGTCTGTCTGTCTGTCTGTCTGTCTGTCTGTCTGTCTGACATTTTCTTTCTTTCTCTCTTCTCTCTCTGTCTCTTTCTCTCTCTCTTTCTTTCTTTCTCTCTCTCTCTCTCTCTCTCT